TCCCATTTAACATGCTGAAACTTTATCTTCTGCTTGTGCACTTCATATACAGAAGACAAAGCAGAAGTGTTCTCTCAAAATGTAATGTTCTTCTCAATATCAATTTTTCCAAGAATTCGGGTCATCCCAGAGGCTGGAACGACCATGTACATGTTCTGGACACTGAAACCTTCACTTGGAGCCAACCGATAACCACAGTAAGTGCTTTTAAAAAATAAATCTGATATGAAATAGCAGCTGTTCAGCAGAACTGGTTTTTTGTCCTGCTATTTTCAGGGCCTCCGCTAGCTTCAAAGAGATGCAGCATTATGCAAATGGCTGCTAGGGCTGTATTCCTGAACACTTTTTGGTTGCACTTCTATCCTAATTAAGGCGGAGAGCGGCTGCCACTCAGAACTCTGTGTGGATACATCCAGGGGCTCCTAGCAGTGCCCGGCTTCAGTAGTAGCTTTGAGTGGCTGACTTTGCTCCAAAGTGCCTCTTCTGCACTGCATTCCAGTCGCTTGCTGGGCTCCCTCTGTTTTATTCCTTACCTCTCCCCTTCCTGTAGTGCTTTGGCCTGAGGGTCCCATTGTACAGTTGAGCTCTAGCTCTACTTGGTGCTTCTCTGGTATTTTGCTGAAGGAGAGACAGGCAAAGGCTGTTTGCCACTAAAGTGTTTGAAATCCCTGGGATATTGGTTCTTGTCTGCCCATGCTCCCCGTCCTCTTGCCCTACCCTGCACCACATGTGCATGCTACCAGTCTCCTAACTGGTCAGAGGGCAGTTTTCTCGAGCCTGTCAGTGCTGCTTGTGCAGGAGGCTACTTGCACTTCTTTGCTTAGCTCTCTGGTGCTGACTGCCTCAGTAGTAGGGTCCTGAACTGGAAGGATCTTGGGCCTCAGCCAGTCTGCCGATTCCTGCGTTCCATTTTGATGAGTTGGAGGGATTGCTGTGCAGTGACTTAAAGCGCTCTTTCACAGCCATGGCAGGCTGAATGCTCTGTTGCTTCTGCACTGTTACAAGTGTCGGCTGTTCCCGTTGCACTTCCTGGAATGTGCAGTGTTGCTGTAGCCTACTGCGGTGCAGGCAAGGAATGAGTGCTAGTCTTGTGGTTAGCATGAAACTGAATGTCAGGGGATCTGGATTCTGCTCCCAGCTCTACCAAACACTGGGGCTGTGCAAGTTCTCTTCCGTTTTCTCTACCTCATTTTTCCTGTCTGTGAAACAGACTGTTGCTTTCCCACGCAGAGATTCTGCCAGGCTCCGAGTCTCTAAGTGGCTTTATCCTTGTGAAGAAAAGCACTGTATAGGTGCTTTGAAGCACCGTCAGTAGGACGAGCCTGGAAAGGTCCCCTTACATATGCAAAGGGTTTTTAAATTTAATTACAATTTTTTAGCACATCAGTGGGGAGTTCAACTTTAATTGCAATGTCCCAGCTCCTCTCCTCCAGGAAGTGGGATGCTTGCTGTCTGTTTTGGCTCGTTATATCTCCTCGTTATGGTTTTTTTCCATTGTTTTGCTTCCCCTCCCACACAGGCATTATGATCTTGGAAGGGCAGTTGGCAAAGTGGAATTTGTACAAGCTGACAGCTCAGGAGAGTTTGGGAATTTCACTTTGCTGCTGAATCATAGTGAAGAACAATAAAGAGGATCAGAGTAAAGAAGATGACTGTGAGCTGTGATTTCACACAGTGGACATTTTAAAGCAGTCATTCAGTTGAGGAGCAAACAAATACCAAGGAAGTGAAACCTGGTTTGAAATGGGAAGGTTTCTTATTTCGATTGCGCTTAAAATACTTTACGTCAATATCTCAGAAAAATTCCCAGAAATAAATGCAAGATAAATTAGTTGATGATTCATCACTTCACTCTTTCAAGTAGGTCTGAGAGTTCCTAGTAAACATCCCTGACGGTCTGCATCTTGCTTCGATGCAGGACTCAATAGTAGGGTTACTATATTTCCAGCATGTGATGCCCCTGCTTCCAATCACCCTGCCCCACTCTCCCCAACCGCAAGCAGTTCCTTGCTGGGGCAAGCCAGGAAGTGCCAGGAAAAACTTTGAAGTTGAGCAGAGGCAGGGGAAAATCCTGGACATTTGATATTTTAAAAAACTGCTGGGACAAAGATGGGAGGATCCAAAAAGAGGACATGTCCAGGGAAAACCCGGGCATATGGTAACCCTACTCGGTAGTCTTAAGGCTTAAAGGAAAAAGCAACCCTTCTTTTTCCTTATTAATCTCTCTTCCAAGCTTCACATACCCACACCCACCATTGCAGACCAGGGCTAATCTACCGTTTCTGTGCCCATGGGCTGGTTGTTGGCCTGTGGGAAATGGCGTTCAGTTACATTTCAGATGTAAATGACATTTCCCTTCTAAAGGAATCAGAGGTCTCTGACCAGGTGTCATGCCTCAGAGCTGTGCTGCCACTTGGAGAATGCTTCCAACCAAGCCTTCCTTTTCATTTTGCTTTCTCCTGTTACAGGGTAAAACACCTTCGCCTCGGGCAGCCCATGCCTGTGCTACTGTTGGGAACAGAGGTTATGTATTTGGAGGCAGATACCGAGTAAGTGTGAGGACAATCTTACAGCTTTTGCTTCTGTATCCCTAAATTTGAATGCTTCAATTTCTTCTTCTTTTTTGTTTTAGGACTCTAGAATGAATGACCTTTATTATCTTAACTTGGACACCTGGGAATGGAATGAAACGTGGGTATCAAAACTTTCCAACTGGCTCTTTAAGCTAGCATGTAACTGAATATGCACATGTGCTTTTTCACTGGAAAAGTGACTCTAATAGAAATTCAGAGCATTTACCATCCTTTATGCATTGCTTCCAGAGACATAGACCTGAACCTGTCTATGCTCCATTACCTTGTTTCTTTACTTATTAGTCTCTTTTTAAATTATCTGAATAAACCAAAATACTTTCTTGCTGCCATCTCCTCTCCAGTTGCCATTACAAGACTATCCTCATTTAGCTTGATGTCTTCAGTGATTCCTTCCAGAAAGTCTGATCTGATGTTTAAAAATTGAGCTGTGCCACCCTAAAAAAGAACTTTGAAGCTGTTGCTAGTAGTTGATCACAGTACTCCACAGCACTAAACCACAGAGATAATTAAATACCTGAGAATTTTTTTTAAAAAAGGACTGTTTTTCATTGTAGCTAGCCTTTAATGTGCAGTGCTTTTGTTTGAATGCAGCATTACACAAGGCATTTGCCCAGTAGGCCGATCCTGGCATTCTCTAACGCCAATCTCATCAGATCACCTCTTTCTCTTCGGAGGATTTACCACTGATAAGCAGCCACTGAGTAAGTAGCTCCAAAAAACAACTTTTTTTGTCTCGGTCTGAGCAGTTGCATGTATAAACTTTGGTTCAGCTGCAGACTCTTTGCCAGCAGTGTAATACCTGGCCATTGCCTGGTGCCTTCCACGTCTAGAATTAGCAGAGGTCCAGTTATGGAAGAAACTGAGGCACAGGTAAGTGAATTGCCCAAGGTTATCCAGCAGACAGTGGCAGAAGCAGGAATCAAACTGCTCTCCTGAGTCCCAGCTGTTGACTATACAGCATGTTCTTAAGGGCCATTGTTGCTGCAGTGCTGTTAGCCCCCAAGAGGCCATGTTACGCTGCTTCTGGCTTAGGAAGTTGCCTGCCTGGAGCAGTGCCGGGTTCTGAGGTATTGTTCTGGAGCTCAGCATCTTCACCAGGGAGGCAAAGCCTGTGAGCTCTTCACCCACCACCATCAAGCCCAGCAGGTCCCTCTTCGGGTCCATGAATTAAGCTCTCAAATCAAATTACACATTGTGCTCAGTTTTTATTCGGGCTTTTCCCTTAGGTGATGAAGATCTGGTAAATCTCCCGGGCCAATTTTAAAATCCTTCTGAAGCAGGTAATGCAGGCTGAGACGCGAGACCTTCCCTTACTAGAACCAGTTTGATGACAGTATGGAATAACAGTCTCAGTGTTACTGTAGGCTTTGTTGGGCAGAGTGTAAGGGTTAAATCGGTAAACCACCCCAGAGATGGTATGCAAGCCTGTTTGGGAGTGGACTGAATCTGCACAGTGGAAGTAGCTCCTGGAAGGAACTGGGGAGGTCTGGAATAGTTGAGAATGAGGGAGGCTCAGAGCAGTGATTGGCTGTACCTGCTGGCTAGCTCAGCTCCAGGCAGGGTAAGAGAAATGAGATAAACAGTATTTATGGAGTAGAAATAGTTTAGGCACCACACCTCATCTGCTTGGTACCTAGTTGGCTAGTAAACACAGTTCAGCTGGATGTGAGAGAGGGCCAGTGATTGGACTAAGAGTGCATCCATATGTGTATGAGTCCTGCTGGTTGGCCATTCCTTCTGTTGGCCAGCCTGACTAACAGTGCTAAAGCTCGCTGGATTATGCTTGTTGCATCTCCTTGCAGTTGGAGCTGACCACCCTGTGGAGCAACACCAATTCCTGGTTGTAAGAGCAGGTGCTATTTAAGGATCATAGTAAAAATTACTGTCAACAAGGGCATGCAAGTTACCCCCTGTGCCCTGGTAAACATCAGCCATTACCAAGGAAGAGCTTTCACACAGCCGGCAGGGAGTCTGCATTTTGTTAGGTTGGACACTGATGACATGCCCAAATCTATGCTCGTTTTGGTAGCGGTGACACGTTTGGTGTTGTGTCTTTTTGTTCTTAGGTGATGCTTGGATTTATTGTATCAGCAAGAATGAGTGGATACAGTTTGAGCATAACTATTCAGAAAAACCAAGGTAAGGGGTTGCATGTGGGGGCTTGTTGTCTTCAGTTGCACAGACCAGTGAGGCAGCCTGGCATTGGTACAGAGAGAGTCCCGTGTGTATCCTAACATCCCCCGTGTTAAGACATGATGCATCAGGTGAGCAGCAGCTTTCTGCAGGAAGCGTGTCACTGCTGCCAGAGGCAGGCCTGAATGTCTGTTGAGAGGATTCTGGTGACTCATGAGCAGTCAGTACTGCTCCTCTTTAAGAGGAGATTAGATGAACACCTTGCTGGGGTCGTTTGACCCCAGTAATCTTTCCTGCCATGGCAGGGGGGCGGACTAGATGATCTACTCAGGTCCCTTCCGACCCTAGAAACTATGAAACTTAGACGCCACTATTTCCACAGGCTGCCAGTAAGAACTTATGCAAGCAAAACTGCCCCTAAGTTTGGAAACAAAAACAAGGCAAGGGAAGTTTCTTACCCTTATCCCTAAGCTACACCCTAGGCCTCCTTAGAGTCCCACTGATGTTTTTGTCCGAGATCGGCTACCCTGCTGATTCTGCCAGCCCTGAGTGCTGAGGACCCTGGACTGTCGCTGGTCATGGGATCATCTAAAGGACTCCAGCTCTAACCTGGCCAGTCTCTAAAAAGCCTCAAAGCCAGTCCCCCTCATCAGTATGATTTGTACCAGGCACTAATGCCTTGCTGAAATGTTTTGGAAGGGACCACAGTTCTGATAGCTACTGGACTTACGCCAACCACCATCGGCTACTGGGACAGACAAAGCTGCACATGTTGCAGGAAGTGGGCTGAGGCACTCAGAACATTTCTACATGTGCTCTGGGGATGGTGAGGGGAGCAGGGCGGCACTTTAATTGGAGCGACTCTGAGAACCACTCATTGAAACACTGCCACGTCTTGTGTATCAGCATCTCCACATTTAAAAATGGTGGCGGGGGCGCTTGAACTAAAGCTCGCTCGACAAGCTTTAGATAAAGTGCCCCCAGCACCATTTTTAAGCATGTGGGGAGGCTGATATGCGAGATGCAGGAGGCTGGCGGAGTGTGGCAGTTGCCACACTCCAGCGGACTGCTCGGGCATAGGTGCCCCTAATGCCGGCCTAGGTGTTGGACACCAAGTCTGACGATTGTGTGCACTGGCAGGCAGTTCCTGCATGGTGCACGCTGTTCCTACACAGTAATACAGGATACCATGCTCAGAATAGGCATTGGGAAAAGAACTGGCGATCGGATTGGCAAATATGGCCCTGGCGTGCCAAGCTAACCTTCCACCCACCTTGTGTTGTGGCACTTTGAACTATTGGTCTTCCTGTAGGGTTCAGAAACTTGGATGAAGTACTTAAAGCTGTGGCAGCAAACCTTGTGTAGTGTAACGAGTTACAGACTAGCTGTTAAACAGATCAGCATCCAAGCGCAGCTTCTTGAGTCCACCAAGACAGCACTGCCTGTCTGCACAACGTGTTTTTGAGCTGCTCAGCCCTGCTTCACTTTCTCACCAAGTAATTTAGAGTGCATGCACTTGATTAGATGAGGGCTATCCTGCCCTGTGCAGCCTTGCTGAGGTGCTGTGCTAAGTATTCATGAAGGGAGTTCGAGTTGAACCTCATGTTTGCATTTTACATTTTAGCATTCTCCTGTAATGGCTGATGTTGCCTTTTGCCTCTCCCGTTGCTTGCAGGTTGTGGCACACGGCTTGTGCTAGCGAGGAAGGAGAGGTGATCGTGTTCGGTGGCTGTGCCAACAATTTGCTTGCCCACTCCAAAGCGGTAAGTCTGGCTGTGTGCCTGTCAGAATCTGGCCTGCATTGTTTCCCACCCTAGTGCTGCTGGCAGCAGGAACATCCCCTCCCTCCCCAGTGCAGTGCGTACCTGGTCTGGGATGTGAAAAACATTTTCCTACTGCCAGTGTGACAAATGAAGCTTCAGAAGGAAAAAACCTGTTCAGCTGTTGCTGATTTAAGGAATGAGCTGTCTTTGGGCTCCCCCTTCTCTGTTGCATCAGACAGGCTGCTGCTTTCATCTCTCTGTTCGCCTGTCTGTACTGGCAGGTTGACTTGCGCTCCACCAGCCCATGGTGCAGTGCTCGCTGCCTGCCTTTTAAACTTTCACACAAGCATCTGTCCTGCCTTCTTCTACCTTATGGGTTTCCTTTAGATCTTCCTCAAAACCCTCCTGTGTCTGGCTTACCAGACTGCTGGTAGTTAAGTGCCCGGTGTGCTGTGAGCTCTCTGGGCCGGGCCCGGGGGGCTGTTCTGTGCTATACATCCTGTAGCACAATGAGCTTAGTTCATGTCTCAGGCTCCCAAATGTTACAATATAAATGTACTTAACCAGAAACCTGTTTCTCTTTCCAGGCTCACAGCAATGAGATCCTTGTGTTTTCTCTGCAACCAAAATCTCTTGTGAGGTAAAACAAAAAAACAGGAACTCCTGCCTTTGCTCTCTCCCTCCCTTCCCCCTCACTGCACTCAGGACTTGGTGCCTAGGTGTGCATAGGGGCCTTCTATTGGCTTGTTTACCAAGGAAGGCCATTAATCAGTGGTGTAACAATGCCAATATTATGGCTACTGACACTTAAGAGCTGTTTGTTCCTTTGAAACTATTAGCTAAGTAGCTCTAATGTAGAAGTTTCTGACCTGTTGCTATTTACTGTATTGGAAGAGGTCAGCTCCTATTAAGAGACTCTTCTTTCTTTTTTTCCAGGCTGTGCCTAGAAGCAGTTATCTGCTTTAAAGAGATGTTAGCCAGCTCCTGGAACTGCCTCCCAAAACACTTGCTTCATAGTGTCAACCAGCGGTTTGGCAGTAACAATACATCTGGCTCCTAAGACTCCCGCTTTCAATTACACTGAACAAGAAGTGCATGGATGAGCATTTCTAAAAGATGTAATAATTTTACCAACTAAGTGTGGCAGGCGTGAAACTTGTATAGATTACAAATCGGCATTGTTGTAGGTAGTAGCTTCTCGGCTTTAAGGTGCATGTGAATGGCCTAGAGAGAACTTATTTTTGTGTAAAGATGTTTGCAATAAATGTATTTAATGCAAGTGGAGATGTATCCAGTGCTTAACCAGTAGCGGGTTTGCTCAACTTACTGCCACCCTTTCATTAAGTGATTGTAAGAAACCTGTTTCGAAGGGGGTCAACTCTCCATTGTCCAAGAGGTGCAGTAGGTAAGACGATAGTTTGAGGATTGATGGTACTCGCTAAACAGGGCAAGACACAGCATTATGCTGATAGTGATCCGTAAGTACAGTAATCTGAGGATAGATTCCCTGAGTGGCCCGTGCTAGTATATAAACTGTTTTTGTTTTCTAACATTTAAAAGTGTATAGTGATAGAAAAACTTGAGTTTGTTCTGGGGAACTCTTGTCGTTTAACCCTCCTGTTGTTGTGATACTGCTTCTTCTGTGTTTGCTCCTAACTTGTTTTCTAGCATTTTAGAGCCTCTGTGGTGAAATGCGGCTCTCACATCCTTTGCCTTTAGCCTCTCAGGAGCTTCACTTATTAAGCCTCCATCGTTAGTCAGCAGTGGAGACTCCCAAGGTAATTAGCACCCTTGGCTGAGGATGGTCAGCTTTGCCTGGAGGTAGCTTTGACTAACATCCTTGCTTTTGAGCCCCCACGCATCTTGTGGAACCAGCTCGAATGTGCCTGCTCTGCTCAACTGGGAAACTTTACTTGGTGTGGGCTGCTGTTATAATCCATGCCAAGAACTATCTGCATCTGCCTTACTCATGCTCAGTGTCTCCATGGGCTCCAGCTCAGCCACCGCTGATGGGAGATCGCAGTTAAATCCTTGAAACCAATACAAATAAAGGGCTTTAAAAATGAGAGCAAGTCACTTTCAGCACTCTACTTCCTGTGTCAGTTCTTTTCATTGTAGTAGAATTGTAGGCCAGGTTTGATATAGCTCAACCCAGGTGGCTACAGTTCAGAAATCACACAGGAGTGCTAAGCAGAATAAAATGTCTCCAAGCCTCAGTGCTAGGGCAGTGTTTATACCATCCTGTCTTACCGGTGTGGGTAGGGAGCCTGAGTCTGCACCACATGCCTGGAGCAAGCTGCTTAGAAACCAGACTGAAATGGCTGTTTTGCCACCTCTGGCCCTCATTACTTGTCATTCACAAAATTACCACAGGCCAGAGCACATTATTTCTAATAAAATGGGAAATAGTGTGTCCCCTTCTGCAAGTAGAGGGTCACTGAACAATCTGCCATGCCTAGAGACAAACTATCCTGCCAGCTGTACTGAAGTCCTGCAAGGACAGAACAGGGAACCACATGAAACCAGTCTCCTCTGTGAGCAGAGGCCAATACTAATTTACTTGTACACTTGACCCTATGTACCGAGACATATTTATAAGGACTTGGTACAAGTCAGATTTTGCCTCAGTCCATCTCTGCCTGTTGACCCAAGTTAGTCAAGCTGATTATATTCTTTTAAACAGTTAACTTAGTTGATCAGGAGGCTGGAAGAAGCCCAGATAGCAGGTGTGCCATTGTCCTCTTCTGTAGGCAGCTCGACTAACTTGCTTATTGTTGATTACATAGATATCAGCAATCATTTTTTCTTCTTACTCAGGAGATTAGGTGCAGATACTTTCACTTTACCAGGAATATTTCTTGATAAGTCAGTGTCCTATAAAACAAAGTGAGAATTAAGATCACATACAGTGTAAAAAGTTCTGCTCACCAGCTTCCTCTTCCCTTTTGGAATACTTGCTGCAAATGAGATTACACAACTATCAACAATAGCAATGGCACTTTGCAGCAAGGGTGGGGCTGTCCCAGACAGCTCACAGTGTACAACTCTAAAGCCTCCCAACTCATTAGAGCAGGGGTGGCCAACCTGCAGTGCCCCTGGTACATGGGGGAGAGAACAGGCAGTACCAGCAGCAGACTGGCCAGGGGAAGGGCATCTGGGCGACACTTGGGGAGGGCCTGCCAAAAAGGTTGGTCCCCTCTGCATTAGAGGATCACAAACCCATGAAAGGACTGCAGCTCCCACTGATGAAAGCAGTGGATTGTCAAAACATCCTGGCAGGCTCAGTAGTTATAATTAACGCACTTAAAGTACTCAGTGATGAGACACCATCAAAGAGTTCTATTTAGTGGGATATTAGCAGGATCAATTTTAGGCCTGATGCTCTTCAAAACTGTCCTTGAGCTATCACTGCTTATAAAATGTGCAGATGAGAAGTGAGGACTGCAGCAATCCTGCAGAGCAGGGCCCATGAAAAAAAATGCAAGAGCTACCAAGCCTTTTGGATAGGACAGGATATAAATCTAATAAATCAGATCACACATCAAGGAATAAAAAGACAGCAAGCCATACCTACAGAACATCCTGGGAAAGCAGCAGCTCCCAGAAGGGTTTAAGGGGCACATAATGAACTCCTGGCATGCCTGACAGGACGATGGGACCCTTAGATATGTAACACGAGTAGAGGTTTGGAGATCACTTTCTGTCACTCTAAAGTGCCACAGTACTGCACACATTTTAAAATGGAGACTGTGCAAAGGAAAGCCACAAAAAAGGACTAAGGCTGGTGAACCCAATCTGTCTAAATTTAGAACTTGTAAGTGATTTCTTCACTTACCTTCACAAGGACGAAACAAAGTAGTAGAAGGCTCTTTAAACTAGCAGTGAAAATGCAATGGGAACTAATAGCTAAAGTCTAACTCATTTCTAATCAAGTGAGCAGTTGTGCAGCTCCATGCTGTGTACCCGGGTGAAATTAAAGTCCTGTGACATGCAGGTCAAACTAGATCGACAATCCCCAACCCAGGGCTGCTGACAACATGGTGATCACAAACCCTAAAACAGGAGAAAATTAAAAAAGATGACAAGGGAAGCAAGTTATGATGTCTGCAGCACTGGATAGGGTTGTGTCACCCATGGGTCAGCAAAGGTTGGTCTTTAAAATCTATATATTTTTGCGCCTACTGAGGAATGCAAAAATAAAACAGAAAACAGTGTTTCTTCTGAAAAGTGTCTCCAGTCAGAACTGGTGCTCCTCTTCATTCTAGCCGCAATACCCTTTGTACAAGCCAGAGAGTTATTTACCTTTACACTGCGAAATAAATCTTTCTCTCTTGCAGTCGCTTCTTTGGAATGCATGAAGTTATGCAAGGCAGTTTTAGCAGCTGGAAAGAGTATAGGGGGAAAAAAAAGATTTAAGATGGTATCTGAAAATACTTTCCTAAACAAATAGGTTAAAAAAGATTATAGTGCTCTACAAAGCAAGTACCTTTTCCTTTCTTCTGGGTGCCTGGTGTAAGCTTCACTTTATACCTTTCAAAAGAAAAAAAAAAAGTTATATAATTAGCTCAAAATGCTTCAGAAAACTGCCAAAGATTTTTTCCAGACAGATTGTTGCAACTCACTTATAGTTTGCCATGGTGGTGTATGGCGCGCATATTGGTATGGCGAAGAGGAGTATGTCGTCAGGGTAAGGCTGGCCTGTTAAAGAATCCAGCAAAGTCTCTCCTTCCTGGAAGAGCAAACACAGAGTCCCTGCTGTAATACAACACCCTCCAAACCAAAGCAACATTTAAAGCAATAACAATATCTTTGGTGCTGGAGATAGTTGACGGTTCTCCCTAGAAGTCAAGCTACAAACAAGACATGATACACTATCGATGAGAAAACTGATATGCACTGCTAGCTCTGCCGTTTACTTCACTGAAATGTATTCATCATAGAACAGGCTTTTGGACAGACAGCCCTGACTTTTCAACAAGGTATCTCAAGGCACAAGGTAAAATAAATTTCAGTTTTAGGCATAGTGTCTGGGACTTCCTGAGTGTGGTTTATATTTCTGCTTGGTCAATGAAGACCTCCTTATTCAGAAAGACAGTACAGCTGCCTCTCCAATGACATTCATTCTGTCCAGGAACAGCACACACCAACTGCAGAGGCTTCCTCAGCCTGACCTGAAAGCTTGTTAAGAATTTAAGTTGGTCTAATACAAGATATTAGATTCACCCAACGAACCTTGTCTCTCTCGCGTACGTGCTTTCTACCTTTCTTTTTTTTAAATCAAGTACTGATTACTTCTGTAAACCATCTCTACAGAAATCTTCTGAGCAAATGTGTTCTCTGTTTCTTGGGTTTAGTGTTTTTTAACATGTCTGGAAGTGAACTGCAACTTTTAAACTAAAGACCAATTTTCATCAGAGTCAGGCTTTACTTGAGCTGTCAGCTTACAAGGGAGGTGGGATCATCTGCTGTCTGGAGTCCCTGGAGTTTTCCAGGTGAAAGCAAAAGGCAAACTTCTTCATCTGAAAAGGAATACCTTTATCCAGACTGACAATTTATATGCTAAGCATACCATAGTAACCCTAAGTGTTATTCTGTCATAGGAGCAGTTGGTTAGAGTGTGGTGCTAATAACACCACGGTGACAGGTTTGATCCCTGGGTGAACTAGATAATCTCTTGAGGTCCCTTCCAGCCTTACTTCTCTGTAATAAAGGCGAGGGCTGAATTCTTGGGGTCTACACCAAGGTCACAGGCAACAGACTTCCAACTGATTAGTGCTGCTTCTGGTAGGCCGAGTGCATAACCTCTGTGACAATCTCCTCAAAGTCAGGGCCGGGGGCCTGGACCTGATCTCATAAGGTCCCTTCCAGCCCCTAACTTCTATGAAAAAACGCAATAAAAAACTTGGAAACTAAATGCTTTGGTGATCCTCCTGTAACAAGGTGAATGGTTCAGACGACCTCAGAAGCCAGGCCAACATTAATGATGAGCAGGGAGGCTCTCAGCTGTCTCTAAACACTTGTATCTTGGTATTTTAGTAGAGGCTAGAAGATAAACGTTTACCTCATTTCCCTGCTGATCTTGATCTTGTTCATCCTGCATGAGGTATATAAAAAAAATGAAACATTAGGACTTGCAGAACATAAAACTACTTTTTCCAGAAGCTCACGTTCACAGTGCACACAAACAGGCTCAATGCAAACAGAACCAGAGCTCACATTAAGGGAGAAGCCAAGCACGTTTGTGCCGTTGTATTCCTTGGAGCTTTTTCTTCCTTCTCCCAAACCTCCTCGGTATGTGCAAGACTGGGAGACAGACTAGGCTGGAAATACTGAACTGCATCATCTACCTACTCAATTATATTTCAGCTACATAATTTACAGAATGCAACACAAAGGGATCCCCAATAAAACTCAGCCGACCAGTGCATCTCAACTTCAGCTCCTGATGGCTGTGTTCCAGAGAGGGACAAAATATGGTGCCACACTGACATGTTACATGGACTCTGTAACGTTGTAACTGCAGCAAACCTATGGCTTAGCAGAGCCTGAGCAGCCAGGTGCCAGGAAAGCAGGGGCAGAGCGAGTGCGCAGCGTTTACCTTCTCATCCTGCTGCTCTTCTGGGGCTACATCCTGCGAGTCATGCAACACCACTCCGCCTGGGGGCGTTTCTTTCATGCCTTCGTTTGCCCGTTGTCCAGTCTTTGGTTTCTGAGGAAGTCGCTTCACTGGTTCTTGTTTTGTTTTTCCTTTCTTCCCTTTCTTCAATTTTTCGTCTTTGCTTGACCCTGCAGACTAGATTTCACACACACAAATGACTGAGAACCTACACGAAACACAGAGCAATCGGTAAGAAGGGGACAGGCAGTTATCAGATGCTTACACCCAAGAGCTTCATTATAAGTTCGCGATCTTCTTCATCCTGATCCTTGTACTTCTCTTTCATTTTTTTCATTTTACTCTGTAGGAGAAATAAAAGTAGTGAGCTATCAGTAAAGCACAAAGATCTGTGGAAACATTAACCCAGCGAAATTTACAGATCAACCTACTAATCTGTCCTTCACTC